TGATCGCTTGAGAGACTGATGCTGCGCCGAGTGCAAGGAGCGTGTGCTCTAGTGAGGAGGGCCAGATAGTTCCTGGTGTCTGACTGGCGTTCCCCAGAACCTCCACTTGCTTATATCAGTGGTGCCGCGGTTAGCTGCTGATGGTACCGAGATGTCTTGCTCTCAGCAACAAGAGCACAGTGTTGGAACTGACCCAAACCAGAACTGGATCAGCCTGGGAACATGTCCAAACACATGAGTCTTGCTTTGACTAACCCCATTCCTCAGCCTGTCCCAGAGGAACCAGTACTTTCTTTTTTGTGATGCTTTTCTTGGAAGGGGCCTGGGCACAGGTACTGTATGAGCTTAAAAAATGCTGGGGAAATCAGGACTACCTGCCCCTCTGCATGACACCTACCTTTCACTGGGCCAAGCCAGGTGAGATATCATGCTCTCTGACTCCGATAGGAGATGCTAAGCCGTCCAGAGTGGTGGTTGGAGGTGCTCCTGGCTTGTCACCATCTCTGCTCATGGCCTGCAGGAAACGAGATTATTTATCAGAGGAAAAGCCCATATTTAATAGGATTCAAGTTCTCATTGAAGCCTTCCCTGCATGCCACCCAGAGTGTTGTGACCCCAGGTTAACACCCATCCCAGAACACGCTTTCTGTAGGGCTGTATGGAATTGTCTGGATCCAGGAGATGACCAGTCGCACCTTTAATGCTAAAGGCTGTCCTTAGAAAATATATTGCATGAGTCGAATCAAACTGCTACGGAGCGGCAATCATTCCTGTCTTCAAATCCTGGAAAGGTCATCGTGGCCTCTCAGTAGCTGCAAGCACCGATCCCTTAGAAATGGGGATACCTGTCATTAAGAAATGGATATATTATTATGTTGTGGGCAATGTGCAGGCCTCTGGTTGGGCGAGCTGATCACGCACGATAAATGCTACTTCCCTGCTGTTGGTTTCTGTCAGCCTGGAAATCTTGGCTTTTCCTGCTCATAAGGGCATGGCATCACAAGTGCATGCGGGACTGAGACAAAGTGCTGAGGATGCCCAGATTTGTCTGTTTGCCTTCCTTTTTTGGCATCTCTCCTTCCCCCTTCTGGACCCACTTCCTTCCTTCTGAGGCGGGATCCCCTGCCCTTTTTAAGAAAACTTCCAGCAGCAAGCAGGCATCTCGTGAGAAGCAAAACACAGCCCAGAGTTTTATCTGGTCATTCTTATACTGAGCCTAGTAACTTGCTAAAAATCAGTTGCTTGATGCTTCTGGGTAGAAGATGCTCCATGTCCTCCGAGCAGGGCCTGGAAGAGTGAGGAGGAAGGCGCAGGCCTGGAAGGCTGCCAGTTGCCCAGGAGAAGGGGAGTACCTTACAGACAGTAGTAGGTGTTCATCACAAGGCCAAGAATGATGGTGAGGGACTGCACAGTAGTTAGGCTGGGGGGACCCCAAGAGTCACAGGCACAAGGCTCAATAAGCCCATGTAGCATGGGTGTGAAAATGCTGCTGTACCCGATGCCCAGTTCCCTCACCCTTGAAGAGAACCTTTTCCACCCACACCACTGCTCCCCGTTCCAGGCACTGAAGAGTCGCACCCCGGGACTTGAGGCTAAGACTTCCTCTGGCTTTGCTGAAGCAAGTTCGCCTCTTTGCGTGGACTTCCCCATCCATGCACTGGGAGTGGTTTGATTGATGGACAGCTCACAGCTGCCGTTGCCCTGGTCGCTGCACGTCGGATTTTCAGAGCACCCTGATGCTTCCCCTTGTCTCGAGAAGAAACTAGCCGCATCTGGAATAACTGCATGCACTGGCTAGTATCACCCTGGAGTAGCCTCCCATCTTTTCCCAGGGCAGAGTCTGGCTTCTGCTGTTGGACTTGAGCGACCCTCGTCTCTGAAGCTCAGAGCTGCGGATTTCTGTACTTTTGCCACTAGATGTCAGCAGTGTCCAGGGAAAGGGCCGTGGTACTAGGAGGAGTGTGGCATCCTGGCCCAAAATCCCAGCAGCAGAGCATGACCCTGGATGGGAAAAGCAGCTGCCCCGCAGGTCTTTTTGGGAGTCAGCTCCTTGCCGCCCTTTGAGGAGCTGCTCATTGCTACTTGCACCTCTCTTTAATGATGCCTTCAAACAAGAGAGTTCCCTGCCACACATCTGCGGTGCCTAACATTAAAAGGGCACTGAGGCAACTCAGTAAAACGGTGGACGTTACAAACAGAGCTCACAGCCGGGTGTTCCACAACTACAGTGCCCAGCTAGGGCAGCTTTCATCCAAGGCCTCTTCTCCGCGCACTAGTCTCATCGACCATCCTCACGAGTTAGGTACAGGCTGATGCTTTGCAGTAATGAGAACTGGAGGAATCGGAAGTGTGCAAGGGACACTGCCCCAAAGGCCAAGCAGCATTTTAATGACAGAGCTGCAAATGAACCCCCAGGGCCCATCTCTGGTGTATTCTTACTGCTTGGTAACACTTCGCTACAGCATTGGGCTAACTCACGAGAAGCAGCACGTGAAACTCGGCAGGCTTTGCAGCTGAAGCACAGAGAAACATAACAAGTGGAGCAGTGGGGTACCTGAGCACAGCGGTGCCTGTAACACAGGGAAGAAAGAGCCTTCTTCCCTGACAAAAAGAGGTTGTGTGGTTCTCACACCTGCCTGGGAGGACGAGTTTCCTGCTAGTTTATTTCCGCTTCAGCTGATCCCTGCAGAAATAGGTTTTGTGCACTTGGGCGCTGCGTGTCATCTGAGCCAGGGATAAAGTCTGCTAATCTGTGACTGCATCACAGTAAGTCGGCCACTTTGAGAGGGGATTTTCACTGGTTTAAGAGTGACTTAGGCAAGTAATAATAGCGTGTGCAATTTGCTACGGGCTCCAAACGGAGGATATGTAAATGTCGACTTGTCATCGAGATGCAGACACGTGCACTGGGATAGAGGGTGAATCCCCATGCTCGTTTCCTGAGAGGCAGTCCCTCCAGGCATGCGTGATGGTGCCCTTTGTCGGGGGGTGATAGCCAGGCATCTGCATGAGCATAGATTAGTGTCCACCCAAATGCATAAAAATTGCAGCCAGAGATTTCTGGCGCCTCCGTCTGGCTATGTCCGGAGTGGAAATCTCAGCAGTGCTGTTGGCTTGGACGGGGATAAATGACTTGCAATAGTACATCGACAATGGCATGGAGAGAATGAGTCCAGTGCCATCTTACTAGGATGTAATTCTCCTTCTTATGGTAAATAACCCCCACCCAGCTGAGGCAAAGCAGTTGTGAGCGGCGTGTTCAAACCCTCACCTCCGTGGAACTAGGATTTGCGGTTTCCAGATTAAAAGTTCATTCCTCTCGCCCCTCCTGGTCACCTCGGGCCAGACCTTCCATTTCTTTTTACCCGTGGCTACTTTTGCCCTAGGGACCTAGATGTGCTTGTTGGCACAGCATAGAAAGAACTAGCCAAGTGCAGGCGGTGGCTGGCAACCCCTCCCCTGAACAGTGACTGGGCAGGGCTTGCTGAGATGGGGGCACTTGGGTTGGGACCAGCATATGCTCAGAGAGGAGGCCAGGGACATCACACCTCCAAGAGACCCCAGGCTCCTGGGAGCTGATGAATTAGCCAGCTGTTCCCTTCCCAGAGCCAGAGCTGGGTTGTAAGAGCTCCTGAAGGTAAGGGTGCCCCCGACTGGGTCCCAGCACACCGCAGCAGTGCACACTTCACTACCAGATTTATTAGGGGTTGTCCTCGTGTGCATTCCCTGCTATTGTACGTGTTGTGCTGTAGCACAGCGATACTTCAAAGGAGCGAGAGCAGCCAGGTAAAGTGGTCTAACTCCTAAAATCAGTAACATGGCAACTTACAGATGATTCACTTAATGTCACCATTGTCCATGCTGCGTGAACTCTAACCTCTCACCTTTGTCCCTTCCTCATGCAGCGTGGAGTGAAACCTAAAAAGGTGGTGCTTTTTTTTTTTTTTTTTTTTTTTTGGCAATTAATCTGCACGTTGCAGAATCTCCTGGCCGCATGACCTGCCCTCAAACGCATCCCGGCTCATTGTCACTCATTGCTGCAGTGCTCTCCATCATACCGTCGCATGTTTACCCATTGCATGCGTTCCCCTTCTCCAGCTCCCGGGCTGGGCCAGCTGACCTAAAGGACTGCCTCAGGGCATGCCATTGCTCTAGGGAAAGGGGCTCTGTTTCCAGCTGCCGTACCACCCAGGGGCCTGTGGGTTTATAAAGCTAGTGCACTCTTTTTCTAAGGAGTTCTGAGAACTTTTTGGCCTTTCCTGGTTGCAGCCCAGTCCCGCTGTCCCCCGTAGCCCAGGCGGGAGTCACTATGTTATCTGTAAGATGTGCCCATTGTGTCTGTTTCTGGTCTGTATTACATGATTGACTCTACAGCAATAAGCTTTAGAATCCAAAGACCCAACACAAGCATTGCCACCTCCATACCAAAGCTTTGGCTGGTACTTTAACCTTGG